AGCAGCAGCAGGAGCAGCAGCAGCAGTCTGTCTCGTAACTTGCTGCCTGATGTGTGTCTGTTTATTTGACTTCAGCTTAGTGAGCAGCAGCAGCAGCAGCAACGGCAGCAGCAGCAGCAGCAGTGGCAGCTGCAGCAGCAGCAGCAGCAGCCGCAGGTGCTGCTGGATTTTCCTTGCATATGTTGGCTAGCAAGAGAAGACAAATTAAGAAGACTATTTGCTTCTCCAGTACTAGCCGTAAGCCTTTTTGCTGCTGCTGCTGCTGCTGCTGCTGCTGTTGCTGTTACTGCTGCTGCTGCTGCAGTTGCTGCTGCTGCAGTTGCTGCTGCTGCAGTTGCTGCTGCTGCAGTTGCTGCTGCTGCAGTTGCTGCAGTTAGAGCGCATGCATTCATTAGTAGGAGACAGCTGAATAAGGGGGACATATTTATTAGCAGCAGATAATTCGTTGGTCTCCTTTGCTGCTTTTGCTGTTGTTGCTGCTGCAGGTTGCTGCAGGGCCGCTGCTGCTGCTGCTGCAGGTTGATGGCAGCCAAGTTACTCGCCTCTCTTCCTCCTTTACCCTCTGCGCTGCAGCACAAGTAAGCCACAGCAGCAAATGCTGCTGATGGTGCTGCTGCTGCTGCATGTGTTGCTGTTGCTGCTCCTGCTGCTGCTGCTGCTGCATCTGCTGCTATCAGCAGCATTAGCAGCAAAACCCGCAATAGTTCAGCAAAACTGATTACAGCAGCAGCAGCAAAAGGAGAAGCTAAATTATTTATTCCCTGTCTTGGCTGCTGCTGCTGCTGCTGTTGTTGTTGTTGCTGCTGCTACTGCTGCTGCTGCTGCTGCTTGTTCGTAGGCGGTGGAGAGCTTGGGGGATTCAATAATTTGTGTGCTGCACTCCGCCTCTGTAGTCACTGTATATCAACTAGTCCAGCAGCAGCAGCAGCAGCAGCAGCAGCGGCTGCAGCTGCTGCTGCTGCAGCACATTGATGTTGGGCATGTACGGCCCTTGTACTACAGCTTCTCAGACACCTCCATCATAGCAAAGCAGCAGCAACTGCAGCAGCAGCAACAGCAGCAACAGCAGCAACAGCAGCAGCTGACGCATCAGGTGTGTCTGCATCACATCACATTCATTTTGCTGCTGCTGTTGCTGCTGTTGCTGTTGCTGCTGTTGCTGCTGCTGCTGCTGCTGTAGATTCGTTGCTGCTGCTGTTCCATAGCATATTTAGAAATTGACTGACTAACAGCTGTAATTGCTGCTGCTGCTGCTGTTGTTGCTGCTGTTGCTGCTGCAGGTGTTTGGGGGTGAGCGTCTTGCTGCTGCTGCTGCTGGCGGCAGCAACTCGTGGCGTCCCCCGCTGCTGCTGCTGAGCTACGGAGGAACTCTTAACAGCACTTTGCTGCGGCGTGCTGCAGCAGCAGATGCTAATATCCGCTGTCTATGCAAGCAGCAGCAGCAGGAACAGCAGGAACAGCAGCAGCAGCAGCATTACACACAACAGCAGCAGCAACACCCTATGCATGAACCCTGCTGCAGCAGGTGCTGCGCGTGTCTTTGTGCTGCTGCTGCTGCTGATGACCTCGCTGTTTACCAGCTCTCTGTTGCAGGAATAGAGGCAAGCCCTGCTGCTGCTGCTGCTGCTGCTGCTACTGCTGCTGCTGCTGTTGCTGCACCTGCTGCAGCCACTTCTTATGTTCTTTTTTTGCAGTTTTTGTTTTTGTTCGTCTGCTTGCTTATTATTTATTTTTTATTTATTTATTTATTTATTTATTTATTTATTTATTTATTTTATTTATTTATTTATTTATTTATTTATAGGGTATATTAATATTGGAGATATTATCTCCTCTTAGGTTTGCTGCAGCAGCACATAACCAAGGAAGACTTGATCTACCTCTTGCTGTTGCTGCTGCTGCACTTAACGTATGTTGCTGTTGCTGCTGTTGCTGCTGCTGCTGCAGTGGCTGTTGAGTCTGGAAGGGTTTGCTGCTGCTGCTGCTGCTGCTGCTGGCGGTTTAGCTGTATAACTCGCGGTTGGGCTGTTGCAAGGGTTTGCTGTTGCTGCTGCTGCTGCTGCTGCTGCTGCTGCTGCTGCAGGGTTCCGTCCCTCCCCTTCTGTCTCTACCCGGTACTGTAGCAGCGCGGCGAAGCCTCATGAAGATAATATGCCCTCCGTTGCTTGCTGCTGCTGCTGCTGCTGCTGGCAGCTGCAGTGGCAGCAGCAGCATCCGCAGCAGCTTGCAGCATCAGGCTCTCCTGCCTCAGCAGCAGCAGCAGCAGCAACTTGTTGCAGTGGGGCTGGCAGCAGCAAAGGCATTCTCCTGCTGCTTCAATGTAGCAGATCTGCTGCAGGCCCCTGAGTGGCTGCCGCCGCTGCTGCTGCAGTGGCTGCTTGAGCAGCAGCAGCAGCAGCAACAGCAGCACAGCTTGGTGAACAGCATGCAAAGTTCGAGTGTGCAGCAACAGCAGCAGCAGCATCAGCTGCTGGATCTGGATCAACAGCAGCAGCTGGCTGAGCTGGAGCAGCAGCATCAGCAGCAGCAGCAGATGCTGCTGCAGGCAGCAACAGCAGCAGCAGAAAAACGTGCTTCTGTATTATTTGCACTTGCAGCTCGCCATCTGCTGCTGCAGCAGCTGCCTGCTGCTGCTGTGCCACACAGTTTGCTGCTGCGGCTGCTTGCTTCCTTAGAAGCGCAGCTGGAAGCAGCAGCAGCAGCAGCATTCCCTTCGGATGCGCAGACACCCGACTCGCAGCCTGCTGCTGCTGCTGCTGCCGCTGCTGCTCTTCTTGGGCATGATGCAGTAGAGGAGACAGCGTTGATTGCCTGGTTGCAGCAGCCCTCAGGAGCAGGAGCAGCAGCAAGAGCAGCAGCAGCAGCAGCACGCATGCGTTTCTCTGCCTTTACGCCACTAAAGGATTCAATGGAGAAGGCAGCAACTTCATCGTTAGGCAGCAGCAGCAACAGCAGCAACAGCAGCAACACTGATAGCAGTGACAGCAGCAGCAGCAGCAGCAGCAGCAAGAAGCCAACAGCAGAAGCCATAGCCGAGCTGCAGCGCGTTCGCCGCCTGATTGAGTCGGTGCTCATCTGCTTGATGCAGCAGCAGCAACGGCAGCAGCAGCAGCAGCAGCAGGAAGAGCAGCAGCAGCAACTGGATGTACACTCAATGACTCGTGTTGCATGCGTACATCGCCTGTGGACAGCAACAACAACTCTTCTCCATCAGGGTGAGCTACATGTAGCAGCAGCAGCAGCAGCAGCACCAGCAGCAGCAAACATTGAGGCAGCAGCAGCAGCAGCAGCATTAGCAGCAGCACAAGCCGTAGTGTAGTAGAAGCAGTTGCAGGTTGGCACTGTAGGAGCAACTGCATGCATTCTCTGTAGCAGCAACAGCAGCACATCCGCATGCAGCAAACACAGCAGCAAACAGCAGCAGCAGCAGCAGCAGCACGAGCGCATGCATTGTTTTCCTGCAGGCTTCTCCGATCCCGTCGCTCCCCTTGAGTGGCTACTAGCAGAGCAGCTGCGCATACACCGCGTGCTGCAGCAGCAAATACGGCAGTTCCTCTGTTCTCCCTTAGAAGCAGCAGCAGAAGCAGCAGCAGACTCACCATCAGCAGCAGCAGCAGCAGCTGCTGCTGCTGCTGCTGCAGTGAATGAGTTATCCTTGTTTGTAGGAGAAGCAGACTGGCGGCTGCTGCAGCTGCAGCAGCTAGCCTTAGGTCATGTACAGTGTATACTGCAGTGTAAGGCATTCCCTCTGCATGCAGCAGCAGCAGCAGCAGCAGCAGCAGGTTCAGGCTTCTCAGCAGAAGACATAGACGGGATGCAGCGCGTTTTTGACTATATATTCAGGAGACAGGGAGCAGCAGCAGCTGCTGCTGCTGCTGCTGCTTCTGCTGCTCAAGAGCCGTTACTCGCGCCAGTGGGGTATTCTAGACAGCAGCAACAGCAGCAGCAACAGCAGCAACAGCAGCAGCAACAGCAGCAGCAACAGCAGCAGCAGCAACAAGGCCCCCACCTTTGGGAGCCTCCGCCGGTGCTGCAGCGGCTGCTGCTGCTGTCGAGCAGCAACAGCATACAGCTTCTGAGCGATCTGCTGCTGCTGCCTCTGCCTCGTGCTGCGCTGCAGCAGCAGGTTGCTGCAGCACAGCAACAGCAGCAGCAGCAAGGGTTGGAGGACCCCGTGTCTCCTGCTGTAGCATGCAGCAGCTTTTATGAGGGTGGCTTGCTGCAGCTGCTGCTACCTGGTATAGCGGAGACAATCATGGCGTTGCAGCAGCAGCATGCAGAGCACTCTGCTGCAGCAAAGAAAGTTGCAGCAGCAGCAGCGACAGCAGCAGCAGCAACAGCAGCAGCGACAGCAGCAGCAGCGACAGCAGCAGCAGCAACAGCAGCAGCAGCAGCAGCAGCAGCGGATGGGGTTACTGGAGGCTGCAGCTATTAGATATATCTGCATTTGCTGATGCTGTGCTGCGGTTGCTGCCGCTGCTGCTGTCCGTAGATAACAGCAAGACAGGAGATATACTTACCTTGCTGCTAGCAGCAGGAACTAAGAAGGTAGCAGCAAATCAGCAGCAGCAGCAGCAACAGCAGCAACAGCAGCAGCAGCAGCAGCAGCAGTATGCGTCAACTCTTCTTAGAATGTTAGATGGTAACCCCACGCTGCAGCTGCATGTGCTAGATACGCTGCTGCTGCCAGAGGAAACCAGCAGCAGCAGCAGCAGCAGCAGCAGCAGCAGGAATTGCCCCCGCTACTTCCAGTCGCAGCAAAGCTATACAGAATTCCTACATGCTGAATTGCCCAGGTAAGCAGCAGCAGCAACAACAGCAGCAGCAGCAGCTGCTGCTGCTGCTGCTGCTGCTGCTGCCCACATAGATGAACTGCTGCAGTGTGCCCAAGACTGCTGCTACTCTTGCTGCTGCTGCTGCTGCTGCTGCTGCTGCTCTTGCAACTGATTTTGCTGCTGCTGTTGCTGCTGCTGCTGCTGCTGCAGGTATTTCTCCTTATTATGTTCGTTGGATCCCTCGCGAGCAGCAGCAGTGCTGCAGCAGCTGCTGCCTCCTGAGGAAGCAATTCCTGCTGCAGTTGTGCAGCAGCTGCTGCTGCTAGCAACTAAATATAAAATATTAGATTTTACTGCTGCACTACTTGAGCGCAGTGGAGCTGTTGAGGTATGCTGCTGCTGCTGCTGCTGCTGTTGCTGCTGTTGCTGCTGCTGCTGTTGTTGCTGCTATTGTTGCTGTTGTTGTTTCTTTTCCTGCTGCAGCTACTGCTGCTTCTCCTGCTGTGGTGAATTTCCGTTTGTATGTGCTACTGCTGTTGCTGTTGCTGTTGCTGTTGCTGCTGCTGCTGCTGCTGCAGGGTACACTGCAGCTGCTGCAGACATCGTATAAGGAAGCACTAGAGAATTTATCGCAACAATTTGCTTCTGCTGCCTATACACTCGAGCCTGCGTTGCGGTGTATAAGGAGGAGACAGAGGGAAATAAAAAAGGATTCATGGCTGCTGCAGCTGCAGCAGCAGCAGCAACAGCAACAGCAGCAGCAACAACATGCTGTCCTTAGTTGCTGCAATAGTGATGAAACAAACCTACTGTTCTCGCTGCAGCAGCAGCAGCAACAACAAACTCCTACTGCAGCAGCAGCAGCAGCAGCAGCAGCGGCACCTACAACCACGGACCTAGCAACAGCAGCAGCAGGAGGAACAACATCCCCCCGAACAACAGCAGCAGCAGCACCATCAGCAGCAGCAGCAGCAGCAGAAGGAGGAGATAATTGGTGGGTAGAATGTAAGGAATTAGATGGTGTATATAGGGTAATAGATGCAGCAGCAAGAGTTTGCTGCAGCAGCAAGCAGCTGCTTGTTGCTCGGCAGCAGCAGCAGCTATGGAGACATTTTGCTTTCCTTACTATTAATATATATGAAGAAAATAATATTATACAACTCTTCCTGCAGCAGCAGCAGCAGCAGCAGCAGCAGAAGCAGCAACAGCAGCAGCAGCAACAGCAGAAGAGGGAGGATGGGGAGCAGCAAATGCAGCAGCAAAAGCAACAGCAGCAGCAGCAGCAGAAGATTCAGACAGCTAATGATGCGTTACATACTTCTCCTGCTGCAGCAGCAGCAGCAGCTCCTGCTGCTGCTGCTGCTGCTCCGGGTGCTGCTGCTGGTGGACGGCAGCAGCAGTCGTTAAGGAGTGCTGTGTTTACGATGCTGCTAGGGGAGATTCTTGCTGCTGTGTTGCGGTGCTACACACGTTGCTGCAGCAGCAACAGCAGCAGCAGCAGCAGCAGCAGACTAGAGAGGGAAGCAAGATTTAGCAGCAGATCTGCTGCTGCTGCTGCTGCACTAATTGAATTATATGATAGTTTACCTCAATGTCATGTTGCTGTACTCAAGCAATCCCTGGTACGTTGCTGCAGCAGCAGCAGCAACAACAGCAGCAGCAACAGCAGCAGCAGCAACAACAGCAGCAGCAACAGCAGAAGCAGCAACAGCAGCACCTGCTGGTCTGTCTTATTGCATCATACAGCTTATTACTCATTTTCTTTTTCTCTTGTTTGTTGCTGTGCTGCTGTTGCTGTTGCTGCTGCTGCTTCTGCTGCTGTTGCTGCTATTGCTGCTGTTGCTGTTGCTGCTGCTGCTGCAGGCGGAGTTACTAACCGTGATGGAGGGAGAAGGACGTTTTTTATTAGATGTTTGTGCTGCAGCAGCACAAGACAGCAACTTGCTGCTGCGTCAGTTAGCTAGTCGTAGGCTGTATGGTCTATCTATTAATGTTGCTGTTAGCAGCAGCAGCAGCAGCAGCAGCAGCAGATGCGGCAGCAGCAGCAGCAGACATCATAAACAAACTACACTTTGCTGCGCATGCGGGGCACCACTCTTGCTGCCACCACCTGCTGCTGCTGTTGCAGCAGCAGCAGCAGCAGCAGCCGGGAACACATCCAACTCCACCACCACTATTAACAGCAGCAGCAGCAGCAGCAGCAACAGCAGCAGCAGCAGCAGCAGCAACAAGATAGCTGCATTTCCTTGTAATCATTTTTATCACAAGGATTGTTTGTCTTCTCTTTGCTGCCAACTTTGCTCTTTTTATTTTATTTATTTATTTATTTATTTATTTATTTATTTATTTATTTATTTATTTATTTATTTATTTATTTATTTGCTGCTGTTTATTGCCATTGATTGGATACAACAAACTATGTAACAGTTCTATTACGAAGGTTGCTGCTGTTGCTGCTGCTGTTGCTGCTGCTCTTTTGCTGCTCTTGCTGCTCTTTTGCTGCTCTGGCTGCTGCTGATGATCTGGTCTTGCTGCTGTTGCTGCGCTTGCTGCTGTGTGTGGCTGTTGCTGTCGTTATTTATTGTGCTACTTCTATTGATTATGCTATCGTTACTACTGCTGCTACTGCTGCTGCTGTTGCTGCTGCTGCTGCTGCTGCTGCTATTGTTGCTGTTGCTACTCCTATTGCTGCTGGAAGACTGAATGTTGCGAGGGAATATGGAGG